CGCTTTTCGGCTAGCAGCCATCCCAGCTTCAGTTCGATGGGTACTAAGGTAGATCATCCCGTCACAATTATGTCATTGTATGTGGAGCCTTAACTTCAATGAACCTCTGGATCACAGCAAACTGTTGCTGAATACTTGATTTAATTAATTATTACTATTAATAAATAAGTGTTAAAATTAATAAGTATTATAAATATTAAGAGCATATTTTGTTTAAACGAATTCTAAAAATAAGATCTTGTTAGTTTTAAATAATTTATAAAATTATAACAAATTTGTGTACATTACAATTCTTAAAATGTCACATTATTTTTTTTTATTATATATTAAAAATTATAAGCGATTATTTAAAAAAAAATTTTTAATGTTATTTCAAGAGTTTGCACAAAAAGTTATAGAACTGCTTATTTCATTTCAAGGGTATGATAAATAAATTTAAACATCAAAAATAACATAACTGAAGGGGGGAGGGGTATCTTCAAGAGCAAAATGCGAAAAAACAAATTACGATACATTTCACCTAATATTAGATATGCTGACACTTTTTGAAACTTAAACGTCACAATATTATTATACTGGTTATTATATAAAATTCCAAGGGAAATATTTATTAACTTTTTCAAAGGCCGTGATAAGTATACTTAACACCACTTTTTAAAGTCCATAGCGAGCTTTTTTTACCACTCTCAATTTAGGTTTCCATTCGTTAACAACTTCAGCTTTCTTGAAGCGCGTTTGAATAAAATTGGAAACCATTTATTAGTTTAAAAAAGCGTATAAAAGTTATAAAATACATATTTCTTTTTAAAGTTAGTAGCATTTATAAAATTTATTTTATAAATAACGAAAAATGAAAGTCAATGAATTCCTAATAGGTCGTGGTAAATATATTTACCTAACCTAAATGAGTTTTTTTTCCTTATATCAATTACTATTTTTTTGTCAATTTCAATTCTAAGAATACTTTAACTTACCTTTACTACAAAAATGGCTCATTAAAGGGTTAAAGTAGCAAATTTCCAATGTGTTTGTATAAACTTAATTAGAGCAAATTAAGAGAAATACAAAATCATTTATTTACATCGATTTAAGAAAGAATAAAACATTTATTATTCGACATCGTATTATTCATCTTATTTTTCGATATTATAATACTTTTAAGGTGGTACATTCCCAAGAAAAGTATGAATACCTTTCAAAGGAAATAAAATTTTATTACAAAAATTTTAGAAAATTATTTAAAATATGAATTAATTTATTACATTTCATGTGAAACCTGTGCATATATATAATTTAAATATATACACAAATTTCTGACAAANAAAAGCTTTAATCTTTGACTTGAAACATTAATGTTTTTGGGTATTTAATTTTTTCTTAAAAGCTTTAATCTTTGACTTGAAACATTAATGTTTTTGGGTATTTAATTTTTTCTTAAAAGCTTTAATCTTTGACTTGAAACATTAATGTTTTTGGGTATTTAATTTTTTCTTAAAAGCTTTAATCTTTGACTTGAAACATTAATGTTTTTGGGTATTTAATTTTTTCTTAAAAGCTTTAATCTTTGACTTGAAACATTAATGTTTTTGGGTATTTAATTTTTTCTTAAAAGCTTTAATCTTTGACTTGAAACATTAATGTTTTTGGGTATTTAATTTTTTCTTAAAAGCTTTAATCTTTGACTTGAAACATTAATGTTTTTGGGTATTTAATTTTTTCTTAAAAGCTTTAATCTTTGACTTGAAACATTAATGTTTTTGGGTATTTAATTTTTTCTTAAAAGCTTTAATCTTTGACTTGAAACATTAATGTTTTTGGGTATTTAATTTTTTCTTAAGAGCTTTAATCTTTGACTATATATTTAATAAGACAAACATATTTTTAAATGATGGTACAAGCATTTGACTCGGATGCATCAGGAGGCATGATTAAATCTAATCGCATACTATTGATAAAATCCAACACCTTCTTTTCCAGTGTAAAAACAATATCTCCATAATTTTCGTAGCGAATATCTCTCTTTAAACTTTCTCGCGTTTGGAAGCAAATTTTATGACTTGCCAGCGCAAACATGAGTTTGAGCAATTTTAAATCACCGTAATCCACTTCTTTACGATCAACATGCATCAACACAAAGTCACACCAATGCGTTAATAAAAATGAAATATTAATTCTTTTTGGATACGCAGAAAAATGATTTGCCATACCCAAACACCACAATTCATGCGAAAGTTCCCGATGTTTTACGCAAAATAGCGAATGATTAGTAGTGTAACGAAACTCATTTACGATTCTAAATTTCTCGTCTTGTTTCAAATCAAAGGATAACATATTGAGGATATTTTTAGTGTTTTGATTTGCAACATGCGTTCCCAACATCAATTTAGGATATGTAAGACAAAAAAAAGTGTCTTTATATGTGTAACCAATAATATTTTTATTTAACACAACTGCTTCTAAATCGCGTGGTGTAGATTGTTTATCGTACAAGAGAGGAGTCCAATGAATACTTTTAGGTACGTTTTTATGGATAAAACAGCGATCAAATGGGCTTTGAATATAAATCACTATTTTGGGAATGTGACAATTAATAGATAAGGCAATGTACTGTTCATGGTTCGCTTTGTCAGAAGAACTAAAATAAGAAATGTAAATGGGATATTCTATAATAATGCCAACTTCCAGCATATCGGTGGGACACGAGTTCAAAATATCTTGCACAATGTAATTGGGATCAGTAAAACATTTTCGTTTTAAAACATTACTCACGTTTTCGTGATACAAGTTTGAAAAGGGTGCATGGCGAATGGGTTTTAAAAGAATAAAATCGGAGATGGTGGCTTCAGCATCTTTAATTTTTAAAGGAATGTAATCAAAACCTTTGAGGTTATCTAGAAATTCCTTTTCGAGTGCTTGAATCACTTGACTTGACCCCACAAAACAAATGCGATAATGGTCGTTAGCCATATTTTTAGTGTCAAAATATTGACCGCCTGGATAAGGAACATCATAAGAATCTAGGTAGACTATAGCATTTTTATACGAATATATGTCGTCGTAAAAACAAACAGCGTTGCGTTCTTTCATATAAAATGCAAACAGACGAGGGTCTTTGAAAAAGAGTGGAGAGCTTCCAATGTAAGTTTCATTTCCACTCTTAGGATATACAACGCGTTCATTTCCCAATAAAATGGACCAAGATTCTTCTTTAGAGGTAAAGACAGAGACGACTGTTTCCATGTTGTAATGGTACATTATACTTTTTGCTAAAGGTTTATCGGGTTTGTAAATTTCTTTAAAATTTTTAAGTCTTAAGACGATGGATTTAGTCCAGGAAACATCAGATATTGGAATGAGAATAATATTTCCAACAACATCATTTTCAAACACATCATGGAAAGAACAATAAATGTTAGTATAATGTTGTAAATTCATTGTGTTACTTTACTATAAACATTGTTTTTTTGGTTTATTTAGTGTCTAATATCAAACATAATATCAAACTCAAAATGTTTTTTTTTCAACATTTGGTTTATTTAATGTTTAATATTTAGTCCAATTGCCTTGAGCTTCAATCACCATTTTTAATCGTTTAGGCATTGAGTAAATTAAATTGGAGATGTACTCCTCTGTCAAATTATTAAATGTGTCTTGAATCATTTCCCATAATTCTTGCTGAGTCTGAACATGTCTATGACACGTCTGTCTTTCTAATTCCGCCCATACATTTTCAATAGGATTCATATCAGGACTTTTGGCCGGCCAAGACAGTATTTGTATTTCGTGCCTTTTTAGCCATGCAGAGGTGATTTTCGACATGTGAATCGAGGATTTGTCATGCATGAAATAAAATGTTTCGTCTCCTATTTCGGGTAGATAAATTTGTAAAATATGTTGAATATAATATTGACTATTGAGCGTTTTTTGTCGAATCCAATGAATTTTTTTCAAGTCCAAACTAATGTATGCCCACACAGGAATTGTTTTTCGATTCGAATGACCGGCTTGCGCAATGTATTTTTCGTCAAAACGATCCTTGTGTTTAGGTCTCCACACGCGACGCATGCCTTTACCAAATGAAGAAAAAACTTTCTCATCGCTAAACCAAACTTTTTTCCATTGTTCGAATGTCCAGTTTTGATAAGTGAGAGCAAATTCTAACCGTTTTTCACGATGAATAGGTTTTAATATTTCCTTTTTGACTGCAACATAGTTTGCTAAACCTTTCTCTTTGAGTCGGTTTCGTATCGTTTGCTTAGTCACTTTTAATTGCAGATTATGTAAAATTTCACTTGCAGGCATGAACGGATTTTGTGAACTCATGGTAAAAATTAAATGATCTGTCTGTAAATCAGTTTTTCGATGACGGCCAGACTTTTTCCTCGTTTCTATGGTATCGTGTCGATGAATCCAGTAATTCACCGTAGCCGGTGATAAATCCAAATGTTTGGCAATCCATCGTTGTGATTTTCCCAATTCACGATATAAATGTAAAATTTCTCTTCGAATATTAATATCCAAATACATAACAAAATTCTTGTTTTTTGTAAAAAGTCTTGGTGTAATGCATAACACCTTTAAATAATTTTTGAATTGATAAAAATTTTCCGATGTATACATAAATTTTTTTCTTCTTATTATTTATTTTTTTAACGTGAAAATGTGTAGACAATAGTTTATTTTCTTCTTATTATTTATTTTTTTAACGTGAAAATGTCTAGACAATAGTTTATTTTCTTATTATTATTTATTTTTTTAACGTCGAAATGTCTGGACAATAGTTTATTTTCTCATTATTATTTATTTTTTTAACGTCAAAATATCTAGACAATAGTTTATTTTCTTATTATTATTTATTCATTTTTTTAAATTTTAGATAATAACATATTCTAAATTATTAAAACTCTGAATTGTAATAAAAATTTATATTTTTTATTATTATTATTATTATTATTATTATTATTATTATATATAATTTTTTTATTACTTTTTAGACTTTGTATGTTTTGACAACATACATTTTCTGCTAATAATTTGATCATGGATGAGGCTGCAAGCATTTTTAATTATGTTAAAGAGTTTGATTCAGAAACGTGGAGAAAAATTAAAATGATAATTAAACCACATAAAATGAGTTCTGTATTGGAAATTTTTAGAGAACATTTGAACAATTTACCTGACTTGCTAGTGTTTAATCAACATCAAGAAAATATTCCGCAATTTTTGTTGGAATTTTGCAAAGCAATTCAACGAAACTTTTTATCACCTGGAGATCCTTTTGGCATTCTTTTAACTTGCCGTGTGACCAAGCTTTATACCCAAAATACTTTGGATAAACGTCATTTAAAAGATGTATTACCTACTCTCAGCAATTATAAAGTTGAAAAAGATTTGCTCTTTGAACTTAATATTTTTACGAGTCTAAATCAAATTTTTGAAATTGCCAATAAACGTAAATTTACGACTCTATTTGTAACTGGTTATGAAGTCTCTGAGTTGTTAAATATTAGCAAAGAAGAAACGTGTTATTTATCCATTAATAACAAAAACAATAAAGCGTCCAACATTGAAAACCATAATGTGTATTTTTGCTTAAAGAGATTTATCGTTTTGGATAGTTTTGTGGAAAATTACTCAAAAATTATCTGCCAAAAGATTGACGACCGAGATTATTTGATGAGAAATTTAAAACTCACACGTGTAGTAGCTCTTAGTGATGTAAAATATGTCTTCAAAAAATGTGGTATTGTGTGTTATTTTTTTAATCTTATCAATTTATTGAAATTGCAATTTTTTAAAACCATGCATTCCACAGGTCGAAATTTTAAAGACATTATCAACATTTTAAAGTTTCAGTGTCATATGGGTGAGCCACTTCCTTTAAACAGAAATGGTTTGAAAAAACATCCGAATAGATCAGGTTTAGAAAAATTGTGTTTTGAAGCAGTCAAACAAAATTATGTGTTGGAATCGATTCAGTCGAAAATGTATGATGTAAATGATTCCGTCAGTAAAATTGTATTTGGAGAGCAGTTTGTTGAAGGTACTGGATACAAATTTAGTCTATTAACAAATACTCAGCATTAAATGTAACATGTTGAATGCCTAATATCTTTTCTGGAAAGAAATAGATATAACATAAGTATGTTGAATGTCTATTAGGGGTGTATTTATGGAGAAAAGCGTCTATGATCTATACAAATCTGGTGCCTTTCCTAAAATATTATAATATTCTGTGTAAATAAATATAACAATAGAAATATTGTTTAAAATAATTTAACTATTTTGACAATATTAAAAGATTGTATTGTATTGTATTTTTTTAACAAATGGATTGATAAATAAATATACAATAAAATAGTTTCTTTTTTATATTTACGTGTATTCAAAACCATCCATTAACTAAAAATTAAGAGACTTGTTTTATTTAAAGAGGAGTTTATCATATTTATAGAAGATTCTAATGCTAAATATTAAATGTTTAGTATCCCCTTAAATAAAATCCCGAAAGCACCTAAGCAAATATTTTCATTAATACTAAATAAAATTATTTTATCAAACTCTGCTAAAACTCTTATAAATCTTAATTAAAAATTTGTCAAACTTTTTTGTAATGTAAAAATAATTTCGCATTGTTATAAGTATTCGAAATTTCACTATCGGGAAACAATTATAAGAAACAGTTTTAAAAATCCATTTCTAAAGTTTTATAAAAGCGTTGAATTAGCAAACAGATTTTAAATTGAACTCATTTTTATGTATTGAATATTAAAATTAATGTTTTTTTTTTCTTTTCGAAAATATGCATAATTAAATCTTAAAATTATTAAAGAAATTAATTCCTATGTTTATTTCGTATTCTGATTTACAAAAAAATTTGAAAGAAAATTTTTTGGTACTTTATGTTGACACCAAATGTTATAAACATTTATTTATAACTTAATACATTAATTGAATATTTGTATTAGTTATTGTATTGTACCACTAGGCCAATGGATGTTCAAAAATCTTGTTTTTGTGAAAAGGTTTGAATGTGATGACAAAATATTTATTTAATCTATAAATTATTGACAAAAACGCACTTGTTCCAACAAACATTATATATAAACACTTTTAATTACTTGGAAATTCCATTAATATGCATTTAATCCATAAATTATTGACAAAAACATACTTGTTCCAACAAACATCATATATAAACACTTTTAATTACTTGGAAAGAGTGATATAAGACAAATATTTCCATTAATGTGCATTTAATCTCTGCGTTTAATCTACACATTATTGACAAAGACACACTTGTTCCAACAAACATCATATATGAATACTTTTAATTACTAGGAAAGAGTAATATAAGACAAATATTTCCATTAATATGTATTTAATCTCTGCATTTAATCTACACATTATTGACAAAAACCCACTTGTTCCAACAAACATCTTATACAAACACTTTTAATTACTTTGAAAATAAACTTCTCAACAAAGGAAAATTTTCAGGGAGAAAATTTCTAACTTTCTTAAATTCATGTTGAATAGTTGATTGCAATAAGAGAGATACTATTTTCATACCTTTAGAAAACACTTTTTTTTCTGATCCATTATAAAAGAATTCTACTTGAAGGGGTCCATAAAAACAAGATTGGATGACTCTGTTGAGCACGTCGATATGTTTATGCATAGAAATCAAGAAACCCGAGGTATTTCGTGGTAGTTTAATGTCTATTGGAGGAGTCCATATGGTTTGCGAATTAGGTTCCATTACTATCGTTTGGTGCGTGTAGAAAACAATGACCAAATTTTTGAGAATAGTAGGTTCTTTTTCCCCCGGCTGTTTCATTGCGTAATAAACCACTTGTTTATTGGGATAAATTTTCGCTGAAAATTGAAAACTAGGTATCTTCTCCAATTTAGGAATTAAACAGAAGCGAGACTGAAATATCACTGCTTCAGCCTCTGCAAAAACATTTACACTCACATTTCCAGAATTCACCACTGACATCGTCAACTGCCCACAGAAATTAGAAGGAATAGTTTTTTCAAGAACATTCACATTTGGTATGAGTGAATATAATAATCCATATTTTCCGGGTGGTATTTCAATATCCACATCGAAAAGTATTGTAGCTTGTTTGCGTGGTTCTATTAGAGTATTAGTCGAAGGATAAAGAAGAAGACCCGCATTTTTTATAAATATGGGCTCTTTACTTGTCGAAGGCTTTCGTAATTTATATTGAATAATGCTCATATTGAGATGAAATAGAAATGGTCAACACGGATAGTCATTTTATAGAAGATATTACGTCATAATGAGCATCGAGATGATTACATCATAGCTATCAATGATGTGAGAAATGAGTAACAGCAACAAGGATAGTCATTTTATAGAAAATATTACGTCATAGCATCGGGATTGCGACACGGATAGTCATTTTATAGTTATCTTTTATCGTGCAGTAATCCGTGATTAGATTTATTATAGTATGAAAAAAGAACTGTATCCACTGTCTGCACTATAAAGCTCTTGTTAAAATGTTGACATAAATAATTTAAAATGTTTGTCGTAAAAATAATGACAATTAATTTAAAAATGTTTTAAAAAATTTTTTTTTAACTTGTAGGTTTCAAATTAAGTATTTTATTAAAAATCTGGATTCTGAATCGCGGTGATTAGAATTATTTCATAAGCAGAAAACTTTATCATCATCATGAATTTCAATGATGAAAAATTATAACTTTCCAGTTACTGTACAACAAAGCATATACAGAGGAAATATATCCATGGTTAACAATCCATGATTGCCATTAATTCCTTTGTTTAATGGTTATGATTTAATAGCAATAAATAAATGTGTAACTCATCGTTGTATCTCTGAATTTGTAATGTTTTTCATCTTTTTTGTTTCAATTCGATGTTCATTACAAAACCCAATAGCTTTTACAACAAATTGACAATTACGTATATTACAAAAATTTACGCTCACAGAAGCTCGACATATTCTACACAGAATCATAAGACACATTTTTTTGCTTGTAATGTGCTAATTTAATTTTTCCAACTTTTGATTGAATGGTCTACGACAATTACCGATATTACAAAAATTCACGCTCACAGAAATTCAACATATTCTACACTGAATCATAAGACACATTTTTTGTTTGTAATGTGTTAATTTAATTTTTCCAATTTTCGATTGAATGGTCTACAAACACCGTAAGAACCATTTGTATCAAAAAAATATTTAATGAATTATTTTAAATCCTAAACAAGCGGTGGAATCTTAGCGGTGGAATTTTGAAATTAAAAAGTTTGAAAGATCACTTTAAAGTTAATTGTTCATCCTCCCTTTTTTAAGAGAAAAGAGTGGAAGGAGATACATTTTTTACAATTTAAAAAAAACTTAAAAATATATTCTTTTGTGTAATATATATTGTCTAATAGAAAACAAAAGAATAAAAAATTAAAAAAAAAAATAAATGATAAAAAGTTAAACAGTTCTCCAAAAATTATGTCTGTTTTTCATGCCAAGCATTATGTCTGTTTTTTATAACATCATTCATTTACAGGTATTTCAAACATGTATTTAAATTACGATTACAAATCCTCATTTGGTGTTTTCCCATTTATAGTTATAATTGCTAATGAAACTATTTATTATTCGGCCAATGCATTATGTGCCCTTTTAGGTTATAAGTACAATGTAAAGAAGGCAATTCATCGGCTCATCCAACCAGAGTTACAACTCTATGCTGCACATTTAGAACAATATGTAAACGTAAAAACTAATTGTGCAAATAATATCATCTTGACAACTTACGATGGACTTTTACAATTTTTGTGGAGATCTAAATCTATCGAAGTGAAACCTTTTTATAAGTGGTTTAAATCACAATTGGAACCTGAATTGTTTATACTGTTAGAATTACACAAATCATCTATGAGAAGGAAAACAATAAAGAGTGTTGAAACACAAACAGATGATATGGAAATTCCGAGAATAATGTTTTATTGTAGGGAAACTGGATTGTTACGAAAGTCTTCTGACAATATTTCATTCAATAAATGACATACAATGGTAAATAAATAACATTGAATATGTTTCAGTTCATCTGACAATATTTCATTCAATAAATGACATACAATGGAAAATAAATAACATTGAATATGTTTCATTTAATGTTTGTTTTAAAATATTTAATAAAGAGAACTATGAGTAAACCCATTTTATATATGATTTCTGTCGGTAATGTTTCGGTGGGTACTATCCGGCGGCAGCAATGTTTGGTTGCATGAAGAAAAAATTAAATCCTTGTTGCCGCCGGATATGAAACCTGCATCCGTCGCATACATTGAAGACATTTGTCATAATATCCCCAAGAATAGACGCTGGTGGCCCCCTGGCACACGATTCGTGCGGTACAAGGAATTAAAGTTTGAAAAAAAAATTATATAGTGAAATCCAAATAAAATATGTAAACACAAAGTGAAATCCAAATAAATGTATAAACACGTGTTGGAAATGCTTATGCATCCATACTTTTTATCTGGAAAACTAATTCAATGTTTATCATCTGAAAGTATTTGTAAATAAAGATTTTGTAAATGTTTAAAGAACTTGTTTTGAATTTGCTGAGATATCGCACAGACAAAAAAATCTGGTATTTAAAAAAATTTAAAAAGATTAAGGACAATATTCAACAAGATTTACAGGATTCATTTGAAATGAGTAAATCTTTGGTAGATGAAAATATACACTTATTTAACACGTCTACTAGTTTTTTAGATTTTTTGATAAAAATGTCCGATATACACTTTTTAAATCTTTCGTTTCACAAAGAAAAAAATGAGAAAATGTTAGAAAATCAAGCATATGACACACACCCAAATTCCAAAGCGTTAAAAAATCAAATGTTTGACGCACATCCAGATTCTAAAATTTTAAATGACAATTCAAAAAATAATGACAATTCAAAAAATAATGACAATTCAAAAAATAATGACAATTCAAAATATAATGATGATTTTAAAACTCCAAATCATAACTCTGAAGCTCCAAATTACGATTTTAAAACTCCAAATTACGATTCTGAAGCTCCAAATTACGATTTTAAAACTAAAAATTACGATTCTGAAGCTTCAAATTACAATTCTGAAGCTTCAAATTACAATTCTGAAACTTCAAATTACAATTCTGAAACTCCAAATTACAGTTCTGAAACTCCAAATTACAGTTCTGAAACTCCAAATTACAGTTCTGAAACTCCAAATTACAGTTCTGAAACTCCAAATTACGATTCTGAAGCTACAAATTACAATTCTGAAACACTAAATTACAATTTTGGAGCTACAAATTATAATTCTGAAACTCCAAATTACAATTCTGAAACACTAAATTACAATTCTGAAACTCCAAATTACAATTCTGAAACACTAAATTATAATTCTGAAACTCCAAATTACAATTCTGAAACACCAAATTACAATTCTGAAACACCAAATTACGATTTTAAAACTCCAAATTGCGATTCTGAAACACCAAATTACGATTTTAAAACTCCAAATTACGATTTTAAAACTCCAAATTACAATTATGAAACATCAAATGACGATTCAAGTATTTTGAATAAAGAGTCTTCTAACATTGTATCCAACACTCACGAATCTATAAATTCTCACCTTTCAGATGATGAATACATTGACGACCCCTTCGAATCTTTTTTACAACCTTCTACAGACACTGAACACATTCAAACTTTGCAAGATACTCTGTCAGAATTAAATGACCAATTTTCAGAGTGTCATCAACAGTTGAATGTCTGCAAAACGTCTAATGCTAGTTTGGAAAAAGAAATTTATGCGTTGAAAGAGCAATGTCAGGTATTCGAATGTGAGTCAGCCAAAATATTACAAAAACGACTCGAGGCGTGTACCCAAGAAAATAAACTGATTGAAACTCAAGAAACATACTTAAAATTACTCACACAAAAGAATGAGCTCGATGTTGACGTGTTAGAAAAGCAGAAGGAGAAATTTGAATTGGAAAACTCCATCACTACGTATCAAAAGAATCAGAATCGATACAAAGAGTTGCAATTAGAGTTGGAAAAAACGATGGTAGATTTAGAATCGAAGCGAAAAGAGCTGCTCGTGAATCGTAACGAACTGTTGGATCAATTGGAAATGGAAAAACAACGTTTGCCTGCCTTGCGAGAGAGTTTAAAACTGATGGAACAGGAAGAGTTGGACAGTAAATCTAAAAAACAATTATTGGAAACTGAAAAATCCAAATTATTAAACCATATACAAGAATTAAAACGCAATGCTTCTCTCTGGGAAAATGAAAAGTCGGTATTGAACACTCAACTCTCGTCTTTGCAACAAGAGATTCGAGATCAAGAATCCAACATTTTTCAATTAAAAGACAGTATGAAACAACTCCGCAAAGACAAGCAAACACTTATGGAACAATACACGGCCGAACACGATACATTTTCTCGCTTACAGAAAAACATAGATAATTTAAATAGACAATTTGTCGAAAAGGAAAAACAACTACACTCTTTGGAAAAAGATATAGTGCATTTAAATGATACTTCTTTGCAATACAAGCAAGATAAAACAGCGCTCGAGGATGCCCTCTCTGAGTTGAAAGACAACATGTGCAAATGTCAAAGCAAATGTGACTCTTTTAGTTATGAAAAAGTTCAGCTGGAAAAACAGAATTTGCACCTCGAACTACAGATAACAACGTTAAAAGGGAACATTTCTGAAACTGAGAAAACGATTGAGTCGTTGAAATTGACTATTCTAAATTTAGAAAATAACCTAGGTAGTCTTACACGCCAACAATTAGCATGTGAACAGGATAAACTCAAATGTGAAGATCAACTGAAAGAGTGTCAATCGTCCTCCGAGATTAACGTCAAACACTGGAAAAATCAATATGATCTCATAAAAAAACAATGTGTTCATTTTAAAGAAAAATATGATCAATTGCAAACATTACACAGTAATCTTACACAATTTATAAAGTCAGAGGTGGAAGATGATCCCATGATAGTTGACGATCCTTTATACGAGCTCATGAAAAATTTGTTAGAGCGCAGAATCAGAGAAGCTCAGAAAAAATCCCAGACCACCATTACTGAACAACATTTACAAATTGAACGACTTCGTCAAGAAGTGAATCAATTAAACGCGACATTAAAAACGTCTCGATGCGAGGCTATTGCTTTAAAAGCACAATTTGATACAGCTCAAAATAAATATTCCAAATTAGATCAAAACTACCAGATTAAGGCAAAAACCATTCTTAATTTAGAGAAACAATTACACGATTTGACAGAAAATTATTCTATTCTACAAAAACAATTACAAGCATCAAATGAGGAAAAAGAGAATTGGTTGGAGCAAAAAGAAAAATTGGAGCAGCAATTACAATCATTGTCTGATGAGCAAATGTGGGATATATCATCAGCTCAAAAGGATTCATTGGTACCAAAAATAAATGTACCTTTGTCAAGTCGAGCATTACAATTCAGAGCAAAAGGAATTAAGAAAAAATATTTCAAAACATTGAAAAGTAAAGCTAAATCCACACTTCCATTTGATACTTGTAAAAATCAATTTGAGGAACATGCCAGCACGATTCTAAAGTTAAAAGAAAGCAATAAACAGTTAAAGATTCATTTAGATACTCTTCAACATGAACACGAGGAAAAGATGAAAGAAATTACACAATTAACAGAGAAAAACACCAAGTTACAAACAAAAAATGACGATTTACAAACGAGATGTGACGATTTACGAAAGAGATTTGACGATTTACAAACAAAAAATGACAATTTAACCACAAAAAATTTCGAAAGTCAAAACGAATTAGATAGTTTACAAGATCAATTCAATGTTTTGAAAAAGGATTTGAAACAAAAAACCATAGAGATGGAAACATTAGATGAAAAAGATAAAAAATTGGCTGAAAACTATAAGGCATTACAAGAGAAACTACGTCAAAGCAAAACACACGTGATGGAATTAAAAGAGAAAAATAAATCACTACAAGAGGAAATGAAGATATTTGAAGAACCCACTAGTCAGCATCTGACGCCCAAAACAGTACCTACGCCATCATCCGTTTACATTAAATTAAAAAAAGAATCAAAAGCAAAGGAGGAAAAGTTAAAAGCCGAATTGGAAACCAAAGAGAAAGAATTAATTGCTAAAAATGAAATATTCGTAACTAAACTGAGAGAAGTTGAAATTTATAAAGAAAAAAATAGAAAATTACTCATTGAATTGGAAGACTATAAACAGAAATATTTAAAAATAAAAAATCAATTAGATAGTGAACAAATGATGTGTGAAGATGTACAATTTCAATTACAACAATCTCGAAAGAAGCAATCGCTTAAGAGATCATTAGAAATCGATTATGAAGAAGAGCCGTATGTGAACAAACAATCTCGAATGGAAGAATTGACAGTGAAAATATTGAAATTTATGTTTGCAGACATATTTGGCCGCTATTTTCATTTGTATTACAATCAATTAAATCAGGTGAGAAGCATTGATTTTGAGGAGCAAAAAGTCAAATTGATGGAATTGTGTAACAGTTTGGATGAAGAAAATTATGTACAAATTTTATTGGCGTATGTGTCGAATGAAATAAAAACGTTAGAAAGCATAAAGGTGGAACAAATAGTGAGTGAAAAGGAGTATGTCGTCTATTTAAACAGTTGCGTTGAAATAAAACTTTTCTGATTTTATATTCATTGTTTTGAATTTTACTATCTACCATAAACCATTTAAGCGGGAAGAGTGAAAAACGAAATCAAATTATCTCTAATTAAGCTTTCTTCCAATCTCTTTGGTATATATACTTTTCAGTTTTAAGCATGATTTCTGTTTCTCAATATTCTTTTGTATCATAAAATAAATATTATTATAAACTACAGTGTAAAATAAATTTGAAGATTTTACATTAATATTTCTGGTAAAAGTAGAGTTATAAAAAGGGATCAAATTTATATCTAGAGTCTCGGTAGATTTGTGAAGTTATCCCTGTTAGCAAATCATAATAAAAGTATATTAATTTCATAATAGAAGGAGGTAAATAAATTCTATTAACGCATTCGTGAAATTTTTATTTTAAAATAGGTTCTAATGAATATTTTCAGAATAGTACATCTCAATTCCTATAGAGATAATTTAACATAAACATTGCAATATTTTACAAAAGAATTTTGTGAAAATAATCTAATCATACATACACTGTAATTTTTCACAAAAAAATTCAGTGAAAATAATCTTATCATACACACTGAAATTATTTACAAAAAAATTATATGGAAATGTTCTAATTATATACACTGAATTTTTTTGTGAAAAATTATATGGAAATGATCTAATTAAATACACTGAAATTATTTGCAAAAAAGATTCTACTGAAATGATCGAATTAAATACACTGAAATTATTTACATAAACATTATATGGAAATGATCGAATTATATATACTGAAATTATTTACAAAAAAGATTCTACAGAAATGATCTAATTATATATACATTGCAATAATTTACAAAAAAATTTTATAGAGTGATCTATGCTATCAATGCTATGATTTGCAAAGAAATTTTATAAAAATGATCTCATTATATAATATAATGAACAAAAACTTCTGTGAAAATAAACACTGAAATTATTCACAAAAAAAATTATGTAAAAATAAACTTAATTATAAACACTGAAATTTTTCACAAAAAAAATTATGTAAAAATAAACTTAATTATAAACACTGAAATTTTTCACAAGAAAAATTTGGTAAAAATAATCTAATTATAAACACTGCAATTATTCACAAGAAAATTTGGTAAATAATCTAATTATAAACACTGCAATTATTCACAAGAAAAATTCTGTAAAATAATCTAATTATAAATATTATACTCTTCATTAAACACTGGTGAACACAAGTCTGATACATATGTAATGGATTTTGCACGAAACTTTACATCAAATATTATAGACATTTGTACATAAATATTCTTACCCTTCTTATACACAGGCGCTTCAATTTCCATGATAGCCCTAGTTCTTTTTTTAATCAGATTGGCAGGTGAAATGGAATCGATTGTACATTTTTTTATGCAAGTTTCTGAATCGATACTAATAACAGGAAAAATTTTTAGGTTCTCATCTACCTCGTCTTCGTCATTGCAGCATGTAACCAATTTATTGATACCTAAGAGGGATTCTATTTTTTTATACTGGTTGTCTTCATAAAAACCTTGTATAATATTTGTATTGAAATAAATGGTATCAATAATATATTTAGTCAGTAAAATTCTAAAGCAAATCTTATCGTTGGCTTCCAAACTACAGTGTCCCTTTACTGTAAAGTTTCTATTAAAGCGTTGGTAGGTGACTTGAGGATCCATTGTGACAAAATCGTAGACATCTTGTGTACAGGTCAATTCTGCTCGTAGATGAGGATATTCCAAAATGTTAGCCATTATATACATGGTAGGTCTATCGCTGTAAAACACCCTTTGCTGTATATACCTGTCTTTTAAATGTAGCTTCCATATAGCAGGCAGAAAAAGAGTATCTATAGCATCGTAGTTTTGGACGACATTGGCCATTTGAATCCAACATATATCCATAAGAGAAGGTATTGAGCGTTTCATATCACTTTCAGAAATAGGTAAATTGTTGTTAGGATTTCCATGAAGATGATCAATCATAAGGGATAAATTTAATACACGATCCTCGTCAGAGATACCATAAAGAATGTCAGGATAGGCATTCATATCGATAGTTCCCATAAAGACAGTCAGATTAGGAAATACACGTTTTAAAAAATTAAGCAAGCAATTTTCTGAATAGAGAGAAGATGCAGCGAACACACACGATTCCTTAGAGATAAAGTCATACACCTGGGAATTCACTTGGGTAGAAGAGGAATTGAAACTCAAGTCTAGTCGAAAGGTTTTGATGATTTTTTCATTTTTTTGGCAAACAGTCAAGTTCCATTTTTTCCCTAAAAGCCATGATTTATTTTCATCGCATTCTAGAATGATATCGGCGTCTGAAGTATTTCCAGTATCGGCGTCTGAAGTACTTCTAAGATTGGCGTATGAAAAATTCCTAGTATCTTCAAATAAATCAGAAATTTGGGTAACATTTAACGTATAAATCGACATAGTTAAACTGGTGATCAAGTTTTTCAGAGTACCTATCCAAGAATAGATATCTGCTCTTTCATCTAAATAGAAGAATATGTGGTGGACGGAAAGGGAGGTGCTGCGTCGAGACGTTTTCGGTATAGAGTTTATATATTAGACATCTGATGACGTGTCACTGCTTGAACTATTATAGATTATTAGGATGTTCCTATCAAAACTTGCCTGACTAAATAGCACGGGTTTTAATTTGTGACGCAATTATTTAGACTATAACGTATTTTACTATTTTAAATTAATATAAATTTTTTGTGGTGCAATTTTCTAGAATTAGGGAAATTATATATTATTTTTTTGTGGTGCAATTTTCTAGAATTAGGGAAATTATATATTATTTTTTTGTGGCGCAATTTTCTAGAATTAGGGAAATTATGTATTATTTTTTTGTGGCGCAATTTTCTAGAATTAGGGAAATTATATATTATTTTTTGTGGTGCAATTTTTAAACTATGGCACCTTTTATTATTTTTTGTGGTGCAATTTTTAAACTATGGCACCTTTTATTATTTTTTGTGGTGCAATTTTTAAACTATGACACCTTTTATTATTTTTTGTGGTGCAATTTTTAAACTATGACACCTTTTATTATTTTTTTTCCTTGTCTTTCAGATAATTAAATATTATTTTTAATATTTATTAGTCTGAAATTGTTTAAACTACGACACCTTGTAATATTTTTATTCCTCTTCTTCCAGATAATTTAATATTATTTCCTCCCAACAGACATTTTTTAAAGCATGCAAATGACAAATACAAAAATTTTCTGTTACATTTTTTATAATATTTGATGTTTTAAAATATAATTGACATTCTTCTATGGAAATGAGTTGAAATTGCCTAGTGGTTGAATACATAATACATTCGTGTCTTCTTTGGGATGGATGGGAATACTGACAACCAAAACATTTGGGTTGAAAGAGTTTAAATACAACTCTTTTAAATTCACTTAATATACATTGATGTAGATGTATCTTAATATCTACATAATGATGAATTTCCATTTGGCATTTTGCTTTTTGCAACAAGTGCGGTAATGGCTCTAATAATTGCTGAAGTTTTTGTTTTAATGAAGCCATTAAGTGTTTGACAGTAAATGTCGGCACACAACAGATGAAAAATGCATTCAACAGTTACACCTAATTGGGATCAACTGTGAATCTTAAAATCTGAAATTCAATTACCTAGAATTTTAAATATTTAAGGAATAATAATAATAAAAAAAAAACTATATGTAGTTTTTTTATATATAGTTTTTTTTAATTTTATTTATTTATTATTATTTTTTTTAATAATTTAGAGTTTGGAATTTCTTGACTCTTAACTCTCCCTAATTTAAAGATACCGTAAGAGAGCTCTTATAATCTGCGGTTTGAAAAATTTTAAATATCTTTTGTCAAATATCTTAAACATTTAATCTAAAAACGCAGAACGTTAAGGCATTCCATGTTGAATAAAAGGAATACATTTTTTATTAAATATCTTTTGTCAAATATCTTAAACATTTAATCTAAAAACGCAAAACGTTAAGACATTTCATGTTGAATAAAAGGAATACATTTTTTATTAAATATCTTTGTCAATGTAATTATTATTACTTTTTACATGCAATATCTATTGTCAATGTAATTATTATTACTTTTTACATGTAATATCAATTATATGACCATTTTCTTCGTTTTCCACATTGCTGAAAAAACGTTTGACAATCAAAAATTGATCCTGATTAAATATCTTCTTTAATGAATCCCGTTGAGGTGTTGTAATCATTTTATCATATTCTTCTAGAGCCGTCTCGTAAGCAGGTCGACTATACTCCTCGTCGAGTAAAGCAGTAATAATAGTATTTCGATCAAAGACATTATAAATTTTATTTTCCATATATTTTTGCGGAAAAACCTGCTGCGTGTAATAATCCAAAATCCAAATACACGCTTGAAAGAAATGAACCACCATTCGAAAATCAATATAAGGGACTTTGGTATAATGAATTTTTTTCTTTTCTAAAAAGCTCGACAATATAAGATGAAAAATAGATACCATATCGCTCGTTTCACAATGGCCCAATATGTTGTGTATAAAATTGGGATTGTTTTCGCTTATATATACTACGGGGGGTACAAAATCGTTCCCAAACAGCAAACTAGCCAAAACTAAAGATTGAGGATTGTATCGCAAATGAAAATCTACTATTGCATTCAAATGGTAAACTACATTTGACTTGCGTCTCACTTGAATTGAATCAAAGTATTTGTAATGTAAATAGGCTAGAATAAATATATCATTATCTTCGCTCACCAAGATGGGATTTTTACAATGTTTTCCCAAATGAAAAAGTTTATGTTCGCCTTCACCCTCTAAGTTACAACCGCTCAGAATAAATCGGATTCTGTTGGGAATATTGAATGAACGCAAGTAATATTGTCTAAAATAAGAAAAATTTTGTAATGTTTTCACAAGATAGTAATATGTGGTTTGGGAGATGGTGTTTTTACCAAACAAGGAAATACGATAGACATT